GTATTTGGATGTAGGGAGCAGTACATAAGGTGTTGGAGGAGAATACTAAAAGTGCCATGGGCTGCCAAAAGAACCAACAGATCTGTTTGGAAGAAGGGCAGCCAGAGTGCTAAACTTAGTTTGGAAGCCAAGATGGCTAAACTTTGTTTCTCATACTTTGGACATATTGTCAGTTGTCAGGAGGGAAGAGTCGCTCGAGAAAGCTGTCATGCTGGGTAAGATGGAGGGTCAGAGAAAAAGAGGAAGACCCCCAATGAGATGGATTGGCCAGGTGGCATCATTGATGGTGTCAAGTGTGGCAGCGGTAGTGAGGTTGGCCCAGGATCGGACATTGTTTTGTTTTGCTGTGCATGGGGTCGCTATGAGTTGGTTCCGACTTGATGGCACCTGACAATAACAACAACATAAGGAAAAAGGAGCTCTGCTAGCGTAGTGGTTATGAATCGGGCTGCAAGCCTCAAGGCCAGCAGTTTGAAACTACCAGCTGCTACGTGGGAGAAAGATGAGGCTTTCTGCTCCCATAAAGATCTATAGCTTCGGAAACCCGGCACAGGGTCGCTATGAGTCAGAACTGACTCCATGGAACATAACCACCACCACCACATAAGGAAAAGCTCTGGTAGCATAGTAGGTACAAATCAGGCTGCGAACCACAAGGCCAGCAGTTCGAAACTACCAGCTTTTCTGTGGGAGAAAGATGAGGCTTTCTGCTCCCATAAAGATTGACAGCCTTGCAAACCCTGTACAGGGTCGCTATGAGGCAGAACTGACTCCACGGCACATAACAACAACAACAACATAAGGAAGTGGAGTCCTGGTGTGGTGCTGTAGGATAAACACTGGACCGTTAACCACAGATTGGCAGTTCAAACTCTCCAGCCACTCCTTGGAAACCCTATACAGGGTAGCTATGAGTCAAAACCAATACAACAGCACTTAACAACAAACAACACACAAGTAAGCAGTAGTCAAGAAATCAAAAGACATATTGCATTAGGCAAATTTGCTGCAAGGGACCTCTTCAAAGTGTTAAACAGCAAAGATACCAGTTTGAGGACTACGGTGTACCTGCCCAACCCTTGGTATTTTCAATAGTCTCATATGCATGTGAAAGTTGAACAATGAATAAGAAGGGCAATAGAAGAACGGATGCATTTAAATTATGCTGTTGGCAAAGAATACTGAAAGTAGCATGTACTGACAGAAGAACAAACAAATTTGTTTTGGAAGAAGTACAGCCAGAATACTCCTTAGAAGTGAGGATAAGGAATCTCTTGTACTATGTATATATTGTAACGAGGGATCAGTCCCTGGAGAAGGGCATCATTTTTGGTAAAGTAGAGGGTCAGTAAAAAATCGGAAGACACCCCCCCAACCCCCAGTGAGATGGATTGATACAATGGTGGCAACAATGGGCTCAAACAGAACAATTGTGAGGATGGTGCAGAGCCGGACGATGTTTTGTTCTATTGTGCATAAGGTTGCTATGAGTCAGAACTGACTCGACAGCACCTCACAACACCACAAACTGAGCTTAAAATTTCAGGATGTACTGCCCTCAGTGTTAGCCTGTCCTTTAATGTCTTATGCCCTGGTGCATTTTATATTTCTCCTCTTTTGAAACGAAGTCTTTTCAGGCATTTTTTCCCCAAAAAATAAGTCAGTCTCATCTACATTAAATATGAGTCTGAGAAATTATCTCTCTTCCCATTTTTTATTTCAATATTTCACTTGCTCAATTTTTATTTCAATATTTACATTGGGACTCACTACTTCACCTTACCTCTAGCATTATGTAAATTTACCCTCAATCTGAAAAGACTGAGCCAATCCCTCCTTGTAACACACTCATCATTGTAATTATCTTCACTTGTGGCAAATGCAGCTTTTTAATCAATGAAAAGGCTTTTCCACCTTTTTCTTGCATGACAGTATGGCATGTTACACTGAGTTCCACCGTCTAATCAAATTATCCAATAATGTTTCCATTTCAATAAACCACTGTGTTGCTTAGAAATAATTGTAGGTTTCATTGGGGCAGAGCCTTACACACACTCCATTATTCTCACTTCATCCTGCCAAATTGTTCACATCATTGACTATAGCCTAATGATGATGATGTTTCACCTCTTTCCCAGATCGCTTTGCTATTTCCACTTTATTTTCTGAAGTGATTGCTTTCTTTTTCTGTGAAGCATTACCAGCACTTGCAACAGATTTACATTTTGGAGACATGGTTAACAAGGGTAAGCAAGAGAAACATTTAAGCCCAATAAAGTTACATATTCAAGACAGTGTTACGGCAGTGTGATTCCACATAAAAAGGCAAATGGTGGTCTCCTTTCTCAAGTTGACAAACTGCTAAAGCCATGCAATGTTTTTGTGAGTGACACAAAGTGATTTGTATATTCATTATTACAAACCATTGCATTTAACTCAAATCTTTAATACAGTAGGCTTCATGGTGGTTTCCCTATGAGTTATCCCTAAATCTTTCTTACTTACTATATACATGAGCATTGGCTTATAAATGAACTTTAGGACATTATTAATCTTTTTCTCTTCTCTAGTCTCTATAGTCTCTACTGAAAGGAGCCCTAGTAACATAGTGTGTTACGCCTTAGGCTACTAAACACAAGGTCAGCAGTTGGAATCCACCAGGCGCTCTGCAGGAGAGAGATGAGAATTTCTGCTCCCGTAAAGATTCACAGGCTTGGAAACCCTATTCAAGGTCGTCATGTGTTGGCTTGACAGCACATGGCAGCAGCAACAGTCGCTATATGAAGGTGCCCTGGTGGCATAGTGGGTTACGGGTTGGGCTGCTAACCACAAGGTTAGCAGTTGAAGTCCACCAGATGTTCCACAGGAGAAAGATGAGGTTTCTGTTCCCATAAGATTTATAGCCTCAGAAATTCTATACAGGGTCGCTATGCGCTGGAACTAACTCAATGGCACATAACTACTACCACTACCCATCTCTATGGGAGTACAGGTGTGGTGATGTAGGATAAACACTGGACTGCTAACCACAAGGTCAGTGATTCAAACACACCAGCCAATCTTGGAAACCCTATACAGGGTTGCTATGACTTGGAACTGACTCAATGGCACACAACAACAACAATAACAGTCTCTATAGCTTTTATCATTGGCTGAGAGAAATGTGATTTGACCTAGTCTCATGGAAGCCACAGGCAGAATAAGAGAACTGGGGAATGGGTCACTTGGCAAGTTGGGGTGTTTCTGAATCCTAAATGGAAGTAGGGGTAACCTAGGATCCAGGCTGCAGCCTGTCTTTCCTATCCTTGCGTGGCTGCCTTGTGAAGGTTATAACCAGCGGACACTGACCAGTTCTGGCTCAGTAAGCTAAGCTTCTGGAATAGTTCTATTTGTGTAAACTCCTGGTATGACTTAGCCTGAGAGTTCCAGTTATAGTTCCTTTCCATTTCCTTCACCCCTGCCCTCCCACCACCCTTAGCACCCCCAAGGCATTCAGTCTCAGGGAACCTGGACTCCCTGCCTTAGATTCTTGATTACACACAGTTTCCCCACTGGATGCTCTTAGCCAGCTTGTCTGTATTCCTTTCCCTCCAGGATTGGGTCTCAGCACAATTCTCCATTTCCAGCAAGACCTCTTTCACCACCAGAGGATGCCTGGACCAGAACTCAGTGCCATGCTCCTGGCTGGAAGACCCCGGGAGTGCCCCACTGCTTGCCTGACACTACCTCTCAGGATCCAGCTGACCTGCCCCAGTACAAGGATACATTCCCCTGAATGTGGTCACCCAAAACAGCCAGTTTCTCACCCTAAGTCACTGTCCTTCTCTCTGGGTCCTAAAAATCTGCCTGAGAGAAAATAAGTCTGAAAGCCAAAAGCAATCCCCTTTTCTCTGCTAGGAGTTCCTGGGTGGTGTAAACAGTTAAATACTTAGCTGCTCACCAAAAGACTATAGGTTCAAGCGCACCCTGAGACACTTCATAATAAAAACATATCAGTCACTGAAAACCCAGCTCCATTGTGTGGATTTGTTCTTAGTCCTTAAGGAGCGTAAGGGGTGGCATTTGTTTTCAAATGTCAATTGAGGGTTGTGAAAATACTAAGTGAGGCCAACACAATTCTGGGTTATTTAAAATGTCCTTCCAAGACTAGACTGATTAATCAGAAGCCTCTGTCTCCTATGTACCAGACTTGCCTCACTGACATCATAATTGACCCCATCAATCTACACTCTTCTACCTCTTCAGACAGAAGAAGTAAAATGTTGCTTTAGCTTTAGTTGCTGTCCTCTGCTTTTCTGTTCTCTCACCCTCCCTGTGTTATAGCAGTGACAGGCTCATTTTGCCTTCTGAAACTCAGCTTTCTTCCTGGATCACACTAGAGGCACTCTGGGATTCTGGAATAAAACCACAGTGAAAGTTGTAAGTACTTTGAGATTCTTTGAAATTCTTGGACCAGAAAGTACTAGAAAAGAATTCCCTTTTGAGCCAGGAAGTTGCTGGTGACAAACTATGCATTAGGTGTGGCCACATTCATCCATGTATAGTTGGTGTGAGTCACTCTAACAAGATGCAATAGATTACATTGGACAAAAAACACGACAGAGTTAAAAAAAAACAATCATTTCACAGCTAATGACAGAGATCATCAGGAGTCTTATATTCTGTAACTCTTCAAAAATGGTCTTGGGTTTAAAGGGAATTACCCACATGACTTGGGTAGATCTTATCCCATGAAGGGTGCTACGAGCTCACCCCAGGTCTGGAGGTTTGGGGTCCCAGGGAGGCTGAATTCCTCTCCTCTGAACTCACTGTGTGCCTCAGGGTGGTAGGAACAAGTGGAAAGCAGTAAAAAGCCTCTCTGATGTCAGCCACTTGATTGGAGTCTGCTGATTGGCTTGTGAGACCCAAGACCAGAAGGCGGAGAGAGGTGTGTATGAGAACAGAGGCCACCTTGTAGGATATGGGCATGACCCTTAGTTAGAGTTGACAGAGGCTGGGGGACAAGAGGCAGCACTGCCAGGGAAGGAGGCCACCTTCTCAAGGAGATATTGTACTGGGAGCGCCGAGAACTGGATATATTGTCCCTTCCCACAGACCCTGACACTCCTGAGTCTCCCAAAGAGCACAGTTCATCTAATTCACCCTCTGTGTGCTATAGTCTGTGTTGTTAGAAGCCAGTAAAGGGAGCCTGTGGGGAGACTGTAGCCCTCACACAGAGCCCCTGGGCTGCTGGAGTCCTCTCAGCACTTCGGGCTCATCCTCTCTGTCCTGTTCAACCTCAGCATCTGGCCCTGCCTCAGCACAGCCCCCCAGCAAGAGGGGGCTGGGGAGACATTGGAGGAGTTGGCCTTCTCGCTTCATTTCTGCCAGCTCCTTGGCACAACAGCTGGGAGTGTTGGTCTCGTAGGTGTCGTGGAAGGAGTTGTAGTCTACCTCATAGAATCCCTTTTCCAAGGTGAGGACTGGTGTGAATCGATGGCCCCAAAGCACCTCAGTATCCATGTAGGAGCTCCGTGCTTGGCAAGTCATGCCTGGGGGAACAGAGTCCACATGTATTAGATGTGGCTACATCCTTCCACCCACCCACACACTTACCCATGTATCCATCCATTCTTCCTCCCATCCATCCGCCTGTCTATGTGTCCATCTGTATGTCCATTCATCCATCCAACCATTCAGCTGTCCATTCACTTATTCATCCATGTATCTAATCATTCATCAGAAACATTTACTGAACATCATTTTGTGCTAAGCCCACGGAGCTAGTGGAGATCAAGGTGTGATGGAGACAGAAGCTATAAACCAACATGTGAGATTTTGGAATATGTTACCAGGGATTGGAGTAAATTATTATGGAATAGTTGAAGCCAGAGACATGGTTCCTGAAGACAGTGTGGTGAACAGATTCTATGTGTGGCAAGGTATAAAGGACTTGAATAAAGGTAAATCGAGAGTTAGTGGAGACTGAGAAGTTGACATGCACTTAGACCGCATGGGGATTGTTCGGAGTAGACACAGAGCCTTTGCATTAAAGTATGACACACACAGACAAGGGAGCTACAGACAGTTTGGCTCTGATTTGAGGATGCTCCCAATTCTTCCACTCCCTGTTTACTAAGCCTTTGCTATTCCTGTGTTATTTTTAGGTGTTGCTTTTCCTCCAGCGAGGTAGAGCAGCTTGTTTATGAATGAGAATGTCTCTGTACAGGAAAGTAGCTTTCTAATATTTAATCTCTGGTCAAGGAAGGCTCTAGCTTCTGCTCTCCTTTGAGCTTTATCTGAGCAGGGTCACATCCAATCAGACCCAGGTCAAAGGCTACTTCCTATCTACTTGTGTTCCACAGATAGGTCCTAGGACAGGTCTCCCTAGTCAATTCTCTTCTCTGGGTGCCTAGTGTTCTCCGCACCTCTCCCCCACCATCACCTGAGGTATAGAGGACCAAGCTGGGCATTGTTGTTGTTAAGTGTTGGTGAGTTGCTTCTGACCCATAGTGAAGCTGGGCAATAAGCAACCTAAATCCAGGTCCAATGTCTTCAGAGTCCCAAGACCTCTGTTGGAGCTCTTGGGGCAAGTTTTGGGCAAGTTCCATGGGCAATTCTTGGACTTTAGCTGGGGGCTACATTGTAACTAGAGATATTACCTATATCCTTGGCAGTTGGATTTCAGTGCACTAGAGAAGGAAAGGAGCCCCTCTATGTGAGAAGCACTGTGCTTTACATATGTTAAACCATTTAATCACTTAGTCCTCCCAACAGCCCTGGGAGATGTATTATCATCACATTGCTGACAGGCTGAACAACTTGCCCAAATTTTCACAGAGGAAATAGAGCAGAACTGTTACTCAAGTTTAGGTCTATATTTGAAGTCTCTGCTTGGCTCTAATAAGAGTGACAACCAGACTATTAAAGTCACTGAGATCAGGACAGATGACAGTGGTCTTCTTCCCTTCTTTCCCTGATCTCTCCTATAGACCCCAAGATGGCAGCACAGATAACAAGTTTAAAGAGTGCTGGAGGTCAACCAGTTAGGCTGGGTCAGCTATAGCCCTAGGCTGGGTCAGCTATAGCCCCTGACCCTTAGGGAGTAGACAGGGTCAGCACCCATCCTTTCTGCTAGGGGTTGGCTTGCATCCCTCTCCTGCCACATGGCTGGTGGCAGTGGAAGTGGCCATGGGGGTGGGAATGGTACGATCTGGATTTCTTATGTGGTCCCAAGTCTCTGGCTGATTCCCCTTCTTTGTGGCCTTAGGGCCGAGCTCTTCTTCCAGAAACTCCACCTGTGCTCTGATCATGAACCCAGCGACAGGGGCAGGGTAGCCTGTGAGCCCCAACCTCTGTTGGAGTCAGCTTCCTGCATCCTGATCATCCTCAGCCTCAGGGAGTCTAGTAGCTGCCACCGGATGCACCCCCAGCTGGTCAGCAGCAACCAGGTTTTCACTCAGTACCTCTGACACCACTCCTTGGAGCCCTTTAGTACCTGTCCCAACACAGTTCTGCTGGGTCTGTGGCTCCAAAATGGGGACATGGTGGATCCCCTGTCTAAGCCCACCCCTGAAACTAGCTTCCCAAATGACTTAAACAGTTTGGTCACCTTTCTGACATGTCCCTAATATTTTCGGGGTCAGTGTGATAAAGACGTCCTGGTGGTATAAGGGTTAAAGTGCTTGACTGCTAATTGAGAGGTCAGCAGTTCAAACCCTGCAGTCTCTTTGCCAGAGAAAGATGAGGCAGTTTACTTACATAAAGATTGACAGCCTGGGAAACTCCATGAGGCAGTTCTACTCTGTCCTATCAGGTTTCCATGTGTCAGAATCAACACGATGGCAGTGGGCTTGGTTTGGTTTGGATGGTATTGTAGAAAAGCTCTAAATTTGTAAATGAATACGCATACCCTACTATGCTCTGGTAGCGTACTGGTTACGAATTGGGCTGCGAACCACAAGGTAAGCCGTTCGAAACTACCGGCTGTTCCATGGGAGAAAGATGAGGCTTTCTGTTCCCGTAAAGATTTACAGCCTTGGAAACCCTGTACAGGGTCGCTATGAGTCGGAACTGACTCCACGGCACACAACAACAACAGCATGCTTGAGTTTGCTGGAGATTTGGCCCCAGGTGGTGGTGGTGGGACTGTGGTTCTTAGAGCCGTAGGTTCCCTAAGGCCACAGGTTTCCTACAGTCACCTCATCGAGATCTGCCCTGGCTGAGGGGCTGAGGAATGGTGGAGGTCTATAAGAACCAGTAACTGAGCAGGAAGTTGCCAGGCTGGCCACAAAGAGGTATTTTCCCTGAAGTATCTGGATGTTGAAGTCCTGATGTGGTGCTATAGAATAAGCACTGGACTTCTAACCATAAGGTCAGTGGTTGAAAGCCATCAGTCACTCCTCTGAAACCCTCTACAGGGCTGCCATGAGTCTGAACAGACTTGACAACACCTGGCAACAACACCTGTTGATGCCTCAACATGGAACCATTGTTTCTGCAAGGAGGAAGCCCTGTGCAGTCCAGCGTTCTCTCGGACAAGCTTCTGAAGGAAAGTCATGGACTGCTTATGAGTTTCATGAGGTGCCCAGCAAGGAAAGCAGGTTGGGGGCATAGGAATCTCTCTGAAAAAGGATTCTATGAGAATCACCTTGCTGCACATGATCCTCTCCTCATGAAGGGCAGATCCTCTCCTCATGAAGGGCAGAATCATACGTAGCATAGTGGTTATGAATCAGGCTGCGAACCGCAAGGTCAGTAGTTTGAAACTACCAGCTGTTCCGCAGGAGAAAGATGAGGCTTTCTGCTCCCATAAAGATTTACAGCCTTGGAAACCCAACTCCACGGCACATAACAACAACAACTGTTGAGAATCCAGTCCTCATTTTTAAACTGAGTATCTCCTAACACTATCTGGTTACATATTTCTTTTTGTGGTAGAACACCATTCTTGGACACATTAGGAATGCTGGAAATGAGTACCAACTTTGGAGTCCCCATGCCTTGATTTGTATCCTAGCTCTGTCATGTACTAGCTCTGGCTTTTGAGCAACAATTTAATCTGTATGTGCTTTTGATCTTCATATGTAATTAACAATCTCATAAGGTTGTTGTTGTTAAGTGCTATGGAAGTGGTTCAGACTCATAGTGACCCTGTTTGGGCTTTCTGAGGTTGTAAATCCTTATAGGAGCAGAAAGTCTCATCTTTCCCCTGTGGAGTGCCTGGTGAATTTGAACTGCTGACCCTGTGGTTATCAGTCCAGTGCTTATCCTACAGCACAACCAAGGCTCCTAGAAAAATAGTAAGGGTTCAATAAATGTTAGCTATTCCTGGTGTGGCGCTATTCCTGGTGTGGGTTATTCAATAAATGTTAGCTATTCCTGGTGTGGGTTAATGCACCAGACTGCAAAGCTGTTTGAAATGCAAGGTTGGCTGTTCAAGCTCACCAGCTGCTCCTTGGAAACCCTATACAGGGTCACTATGGGTCAGAACCAACTCAATGGCACTTAACAACATTACTATTATGGAGTCCTGGTGTGGCACTGTGGGTTAATGTGCCAGACTGCAAAGTTGTTTGAACTGCAAGGTTGGTGGTTCAAGCTCACCAGCTGCTCCTCAGAAACCCTATACAGGGTTGCAATGTGTCGGAACTGACTCAACAGCACTTAACAACAACAACAAGAAGCATGGTGGAGTCCTGGCGTGGTGCTATGGGTTAATGTACTGGATTGCAAAGTTGGTTTGAACTGAAAGGTCAGTGGTTCAAGCTTACCAGCTGCTCCTTGGAAAGCCTATATAGGGTCACTATGGGTCAGAACTGACTCGATGGCACTTAACAGCAACAAGAAGCAACTTGGTGTTGTAAGGGAACTCTGTGCCTAGGAGGACAGTGTCTTACCTGTTGCCTCCACCATCCCTTCTAGAATGACTACAACTTCAAACTCTTCCTGATCTAGCTGAGCTCGGGACATCTCCCAGAATGGGCTCTTCTCGTTGATCTCGTGGGAGATGATGAGTGGTGATACCAGGAAGAGACGGTCATCGCCAGTGTCAAAGCCCACATTGATGTCAGTCTGGTTTAGGGGGATGAACTCCCCTTCTTTGGTCTGCCGGGATTTGATGAGCTTGGCACGGATGGAGGCCTCCACAATGTGGGAGTTGCGGAGGTCACCCACCCGGAACATGAGGCAGAGTTTCTCATCCCGCATAGAGATGACAGCGTTGTTGGAAAACATGAGGGTCTCTGCCCTCTTCTTTGGCTGACTGATCTTAACAAACATGCACCCCACCATGAAGGCATTAACAATGGAACCTAGGATAGCTTGGACCAAGAGGAGGATGATCCCTTCGGGACATTTCTCTGTGATGACCCGAAAACCATACCCAATGGTGGTTTCGGTCTCAATGGAGAACAGGAAAGCAGACACAAAGCCACTGAGATTTTCAACACATGGAATCCAGTTTTGATCACCCACATGATCCAGATCACCCCTGATATAAGCAATGAGCCACCAGATGAAACCAAAGAACAGCCAAGTGATGGTGTAGACCATGGTGAAGACAAGAAGATTGAAGCGCCATTTGAGGTCCACCAGGGTGGTGAAGAGGTCACTCAGGTACCGGTAGGTCTCTTGGACGTTGCCATGGTGTACATTGCACTTGCCGCTTTTCTCCATGTAGCGCTGACGAGGCTTCTTGCCTTCCACCAGCAGGCGAGTGCGGTCTGTGGCAACAGGGACATAGTCACGGGCCTGTTTGGGAATCTTCTTAGGGTCCTTGGGAGTGCATCCAATCTCCATATCCTGGCTCATAGCGTTCCTAGAATCACCAGCCATAGCGGAGATCCTTGAGTGAAAAAAGACATGACTAATGAAGTTGAGTATTCTGATTTCCCAGATACAGGTTCCTCCCACCTCTGCTCCTCAGGTCCTCTCATTCATCACTTAGTAGGTCAGACTATGACATTCTCAAGGGCAGGAACTTGCTTATATTATATTCTTTACTCATATTCCTGGAGTCTAGTACAGTTCTAGCATGAAAGAGAAGAACTTAATAGATACGTGTTGAACAAATAAATGAGCAGTTCCTCAATATCAACTGTACATCAAGTGTTTATAAAGATGTAAAGAAAACTGGGTTTAATTTTGATTTTAAAAATCGCAACTATCTATGAAAAGCATGGGCTGTGTCATTATCACCACAACAATGCAGTGTAGTCAGATACTGTAATCCCCACTCTACAGAAAACCAATTGTTTGCTTATGTTGTTGTTGTTGTTACTTGCCGTTGAGTCGGTTCCGACCCATAGCGACCCTGTACAGGGTTTCCGAGGGTATAAATCCTTACGGGAGTAGAAAGCCTCATCTTTCTCCCGCGGAGCAGCTGGTAGTTTCGAACCGCTGACCTTTAGGTTCACAGCCCGATTCGTAACCACTACGCTACCAGAGCTCCTTATGTGCTATGTTTATTTCAAGTAGTCTATCTCCCTGCATTTGAATGTAAACTCCACAAGGACACAATTTGTGTTCTGCTTCCTGATATATTCCAAACACCTGCAGTGCAGCCTGACACATACTATGTATTCAAACAGCACTTAATGAATAAACAGACAAATAAATAAGAAAATGGAGTCCCAAGAATGGTAAGTGACACCCAGGTCATCAAACAAGTAAATGGTAGAAATATTACTTGAATTTTTGCTTGTCTGATCCAGAGCCTGTGCTCTTTCTTTCATACCTTATTGTCTTTGTTCTTTTCATTTGAAGTTTTTCAGCAGCAGATATAATGGAAAAGGCAATGCGTGTCTGATGTGTCATTTGGTCATTCCGCCTATCTGGGGGGTGTGGTTTGTATCATCTGTGCACATGTTAATAAGGCAAATTATTATGCAGATCCACCATTAAAACATGTGATACATTTGTTCCCTCAAGAAATCAAGATAGGCCGGATGTTAAGGCCCTAATGTTTTCAAATGGACTACAACATAGTTCAGAGTACAGCCACACTTGTAAGAAACAACCAGAAATCTTTAACAATTGACTGTTACCTGGTATTCATTTAAAACGCTTTACCTCATGAGAATTTCTGCAACTAATAATAACTTACATTTCTGAGCATTCGTGATCTAGGCACTGTGTGTTAAGAAATTTCTATTATCGCTTTTAATCCTCACAACAAAGCAATTAGATAAATACGGTCATTATCCTTCTATTTTCCATATAAGGAAAATGAAGTTCAAGCCTTAAGTAGTTGAGGTAGCTTATAGGTCTAGATTTATCAGACTTGAGCCCACTATGCTGTCTGTAGACATTAATATTCTGTGCCTGTTGCTCAGAAAGTTCTATGAGCATCAGATCCTGGGGCAAGTCATCACAGAGGAGAGTCATTTCATTTTTCTTCATTCTTACAAGAAAGCTTTTTTTTAAATTTTCTTCCCAACAACCTGAATAAATGTTCTATAGCCAATGAGCTGACTGTCTCATTTGGTAACAAAGAAGATTTCAACCATTGTGGAAAGTCTGATGATTCTGGCAGGCTTTTCCCTTTGCTACTTGGATGGTTACAGCAATTTTCAGGTAACTTTTGCAATATCGTATTGAAGGGTCATATGAAGGGCTGTTTATCTCAGGCATCTGTTAGCCATTTCCCATTCTCCATAGAGCCACCTGCTCCCTCACATGGCAGTTATGGAGATAAATGTAACAAGAAGGGATATGCTTGGTACTTCTTTGCAGAAACCAAAGAATGAGCTAGCTCTGACTCAAGGTAGGACACTTTTACTAAAAACCTTTTAAGAGATGTTCAGAGACCATAAGAAATGCCACTGAACTTGACACTGTTTGCTCCCAGGCCCCAGCTTTGATACCCATAACCAGAACAGCAGAGTCCCTAAGCACTGATGCTGGGCCAAGCAGGCATACTGCTGCCAAGAACAAATCATTTTGGCCAGGTCCCCTGAAAGAGCCCTTAGATCTTTCAGGAAAACAATTTCCAGACCTGTTTTCCTCTTTATTTTTAAACATACTTTCATACATTCATGTAAAAGTCTTTCTGCTGTAGTAGAAAAAGAAAAAAAAAAAAAAAAAAAAAGGTTTTTTAGGGCACCTCAGAACTTTTTGCATAGGAAAAGGTGAGGTGTTTTTTTTCTGATTTGCCATCTGGATGCAGTCCCTAAGTATGCTGGAAGCCTTGGCTGAAGTTATTTCTCCTTTGACTCAGAGTGAGCTCAGTTTCCCAAAACTTTGCTCTGGAGTTGGAAGAAAAACAGTCCTCTCTTTGCCTCAGTTTATCCTGCCGTAAGTCTGGGAAATTCATCTGCTTTTCTGACCCTGGGGACTATTATGTGAACCCATGGAAAGAATATATGAATCCCAACAAGAATATAGGAGTCCTGTTTTGGCGCTGTAGGATAAGCACTGGACTGCTAGTTACAATGTCAGTGTTTCAAATCCTCCAGCTGTTCCTTGGAAACCCTGTACAGGGTCCCTATGAGTCAGAACCAACTTGACAAGATTTAACAAGAAGAATATAAGTGTGAGTGTAAATATACATTTATAAACTCTCTTTGAATTGAAATTTAATACAAATCTATCAAAGATACTGGTGATGGCGTTGTTAGTTATAGAACTGGCCTTCAATTTGTGGAGACCCCATCCATGCACAATGGAATGAAATACTGCCCAGTTCTGTGCCATCCCCTTAATTGTTGCAAATCAGACCATTATGATCCATAGGGTTTTCATTGGCTAATTTTTCAGAATTAGGGCTGCTGTTGTTGTTGTGAGGTGCCATTGAGTCGATTCTGACTCACAGTGACCCTGTGTAGGGTTTCCAAGGAGCAGCTGGTGGGTTTGAACTACCGACCTTGTAGTTAGCAGTCCAGTGCTGATCCTACAGAGCCACACAGAAGCAGGGCATCGGAGCTTTATTCCCAGTGCGTCTTAGCCTGGACATTTCACTGAGATCTGTTCCGCCTCATAGCAACATGTTATGAATACCATCCACTGACAGCTGGGTGGTAGCTGTGCACGAGGGGCATTAGCCCAGAATTGAACCTAGGTCTCTATCATGGAAGGTGAGAGTTCTAGCACAGAACCACCACTGTCCTCATAAATATGTTTTATGAGGTAAATATGTTAACTGCTGCTGTTGTTGTATGCTGCTGAGCTGGTTTCGACTCATAGTGACCCTGTAGAGGGTTTCGAGGCTGTAAGTCTTTGTGGAAGCGAAAAGCCTTATTTTTCCCCCCCACTGTTAAATGTTAAAGATAAAGAAAAAGAGACATGGAACCTCTAAGTGAAGTATCCCAAGCCCCCAGTGATTTTCAGGGCAGGCACTTAGCTGACCACAATGGAGCCTCCACTTAGGAAATACACATCTTTGAAATCCTGGGTTCCACTGCTATGTGCCTGTCAATTCACAAGGATTTTCCAGGGACAGTGGAGGTGCATTTTTTAATCAGATTTTCAGGATCCACTTCACTAAACAATCATTCATTGGAGTCCTGGGGTGGTACTTTAGGATAAGCACTGGACCACAAGGTCGGTTTGAACTGCAAGGTGAGCGGTTCAAATCCACCAGCCGTTCCTCGGAAACCTTATACAGGGTTGTGATGAGTCGGAACTGACTTGATGGCATGTAACACCACCACCACATAATACAAATAGTCCTTAATGGCTGTTAGAGTTACAACGCATCGCACTTCTGTTGTTTTTTTAATTGTACATCTTATTGTTGTACAGAAATTGCTGCAGTGTATAATTTGATGATATTATAATTTTTGTGCCAACACCCAAAGACAAATATTGACTGGATTTATAAAGGTATGGATAATAAAAGGCAATAATAATAAAAACTTTGAAAACAATAAATTGTTCAATTTACGACATCAGAACCAACTAGGGGATTATCTATTCAGCTCTGGGCTAAAATCTAGGTCCCTGGGTGGCTCGGGTGATTAAGTGTTCAGCTACTAGTGGAAAGGGGGGCAGTTTGAACTCATCCAGTGGTGAGTAAGAAGAAAGACCTGGTGATTTGCTTCTGAGAGATCACAACTATGAAACCAAGTGGTGCAGTTCTACTCTGGCACACATGATTCAGAATCAGTATGACAGCAACTGGGCTAGCAGCTAGAGATAACACAATGAATGAAACCAGAGAAGTCAAAGCTTTCCTACAGTTTACATTCTAGCTTTGATTCTTTGAACCTGGGGTCATGCTGAATTGTCTATAGAGAGAAAAGGGCTGAACTGGGAGAGAGGCAGGAGGGCTTCAAACCACTCAAGGATGAAGAACCAGGAGCTCTAGATTTCTTCTCTGTTGGCACAGTGGGCATACTTTCTTGACTTCACAGCATTTACTCACAGGAGAGGGGAGTAGTGTTCTTTCATTTTACAAATGAAGAAACAAGGAGAGAAATTAAATAATTTGTCTAATGTCACATAGTACTGGGTGGAACTAAACTCCAAACACAGCTTCCCAGATTCCACATTCACGCATTGCATAATTGTGTCTGGGAGAGAATGTCTCTATGTGAGCCTGATGGGAAATCCTTCATCCCTTTCTCCAAGAAGCTGTGCCTGAAGAGCATTCTGAGAACATTCTAAGTTCCCTCTACCACACTGAGGAGGGACTAGGTCTGGTTCCCAGATCCCAGTTTCCTTTGTACTTTGAGCTGCTCCTCCATCCTGAATCCTAGCATGGGTCAGTTCCTTCCTTGCCTTCCATACAGGAGAACAGGGAGGAGGATGAGGGAGTGATGGGGACCACGGTGTCCCTGAGCATGGTGCCTCCAGTGTGTAGTCAGTGTGAAGTCAGTAGCCGGGGCACAGTCTACTGCCCCTTTCCCATCCACAGGTATGTGAAGACTCTGTGTGCATCTCTGA